AACATTAAATGTTTTTTTTTTTTCACTTTTTCTGTTTCATTATAAAATCAATCGGTTCTATGTAAAACAGAGCATAAATATTTTAAATCCAATATTTTATTTTTACGAAAATCGTTTTTTTAACTCAACATTTTAGGTAAATTTTACAAGTTACTTCGCAATTTGGTTAATACATAAATTATGTGACGAATTTCTAATTTGAGTCTCATATTCGAAAAAACTAATAAGGTTTTGTTAAAATACCTTTCAACAAGTGTTTTTATAAGAAAAAAAAAGTAAGTAAACTTTCAGGATGCCATCGTTTTTTTATTTAGGTAAAATAACCTATATAAATAATATAGTTATTAGATTATTTATAATGTATTTATAATAAACTTCTTTTTATGCAAAGGCAATTAAAAAACAAGTTTCATCTTGATGGTTTTAATATATAATTACTTCGAACCAGGACTTTATCAAAAGCAACTAAGCACTCGCTGAATATTTTTAATGTAAGATCTGTACTCAAACTGTTTAATGGCATAAAAAAAAAAAAAAAAAAAAATCAACTGTTTAATATATAATTAAAAAACTAACAGTAAAATTTACTAATAAAACTTTTTTATATCTTCACTATAAAAGACCAATCTTATCACTAACAATACATTTTTCAATTATATTTTCAATAATTTCTTCAAAGTCAAAGTCTTTTTTTTTATATAAATAATAAAAAATTTTTTTATTGCGCACAGCTTAATTGTTTTAATCTGTTTCACAAAATTTTACCACTAATATTCCTAGGATGATTCTTGCTTTTTGCAAGATTTATCAAAATTAAAATAAAAGCCTGGAGTTTTACGTCATTATTAAGTTTTCACTTTGAAAATTTATTTTTCAGCAGTATGAACACATAAAAACTCCACAAAACAACTTTGCAATTGATGCTAACGATGCTTATGTTCATTTTCTTAATCAATAAAATAAAGATTTTCTTCTAAAAATAATTTTATAAATTCTAAATCACTTTTGTTAAAAGGATTCAAAATTCAATACTTTTTGTTTAGTCAGTTATTCTTAATTGATTTTTCGGAAAAGTTTAAAAAATAATTCCTATTTTTTTTTGATTGGCCTCAGGGCTGGTACGAGTATGTGTCACGTGGGAAATACCAATAAAAGTTTTGCTGTATGAAAAAAAAAGGATTTGGTTTTTTTAAAATTTGCCGACCAACTGGTCTACATTTGCCACCTGACTTGTCTAAAAGGCAGTAGTAGCAGTACAAAACAGAAAAGCCGTAGTTAGTTAGTGCGCTTGCCTCAAAAGTTAGAGATCCAATGTTCAACGCCACCTCTGGGCAAGTTTTATAACATCAGTAAGGAAAGAGGCGTTAACTTCCTTTCAAATGCTCTTGCAGTGCTCTGTGATAAGACGGTAAAGACATCTTAGGGCACTTAAAATAATTTAAAAAAAGGTTAAAATTTGCCGACTAAATAAACGAAATTTTTTATTTTTCATTTTTTATTTTTTTTATTTATTTTTTTTTACTTTATTATTTATTAAGATTTATAATATTATACGGGCAGGACTTCAAAAAGATCGTAAAGACCACATCACGATGCCCTTAACAAAACTATATTTTCTTCTACAATAAAAATATCTATATACTATATAAAATAAATATTTACCGAGAATATATAATCACTAAATATATCATAAATTTAATACTCTACAAACTTCAGAAGTGAAACTCAAAATAAAACATAACAAATCAATATGCAGTATAGCACATTGATTTGTTATAAAATGAATATATTTTAACTGAAAATATTTTTAAAAAAATCAAAAAAAAATCGAGAATATTTTTTGTTGAAAAATTTTTTTTATTAAATTGTTTGAAAAAGGAATAGGTCAGTTTAGATGAAAAAACAAAATACCGTACTATTTCATTCCAGTGTTTATATTTTCATGTGACTAAAACAAATTTGTGTCGTCTGCAAGAATTATAGTCTTTAAATTGGATACTTTGTTAAGATCATTTATATATATATATATATATATATATATATATATATATATATATATATATATATATATATATATATATATATATATAAATATATATATATATATATATTTATATATATATATATATATATATATATATATATATATATATATATATATATATATATATATATATATATATATTATTTATATATATATATATATATATATATATATATATATATATATATATATATATATATATATATATATATATATATATATATATATATATATATATATATATATATATATATATATATATATATATATATATATATATATATATATATAATGAAAAGAAGTGGTCCAAGTGTGGATCCTTGTGGGACACCATATGTTGTGTTCATTAATATTTAAGGCTGTGAATCATTGTTAAAAACGAATTGCTTTCGGTTGGAGAGTTCATTACTGGGGGTGTCTCACCCTCCTTCGCGCCGACCTTGGTTGGCCTTCTACTTTTATTCTTAAATTATAAAATTATTAAAATAATTTAAAAACTGAAAATCCTTGGATTGCATTTTTTGCATGCAAAGTTACGCAACTTTATGTTAAAATTTATGCAATTTAAATTTTCATTAGATAACTTTAAATTAAAATAATTAAAAGTTGCGTCTTATCTAGTGTAAAAGTTTGCTTTAATTTACTTTGTATACTTATAATATACTTTGCTATGAGTTTTGTTAACTAAATTTAGATTTCGAATAAAATAAAAAATATTGCAACAAGAAGTAACAAACTAATAAATGAATAAATCATAAAATAGTAAACTAATCAAAATTAATAAACTTCTATAGAAATCTCCCAGTAAGTTACGAACTTTATCATGCAAATTGCTATTACTCAGGGTTGTTTTAGTACTTGTCTTTAATGAAGTCAACAATAAATTATCTTTTGGAAATTTTTATTAAATAGGATTGAGTGCTTAGTAGTCGCAGAAGTAGTTTGTAGATACGCATCTAAAAACTTGGACGAATGTATCATTTTTAAATTTGCTATTGGTATATTTTTTCAACAGAAAATAAGAAATTAAAATAGGTTTGGAAAAAGGTACAATAATGAAATAACTGATGTATTACGTTTTTAATAAGATTTTTGAAGTTTATAAACCAATTAAAATAATGTTTATTTTAGTAATACAGTTAATCATAGCAAGGAAAATCCATTTTATTCAAAATTATTAATGTTAGTAAAAATAAAACAAAACGTCTTCTTATATCTACACAAGAATAAACTAACAAGTTAAAGTTTTTTGGAAAGTCCTCACAACAATCCACAATCAAGTTAGTCCTAATGGACTAATTTCATGTATAATGCCACAAAATTAATTTTGAACCCCTATCTTCTTCTATCGCCTTAAATAATATTAGATTTACTTTATTCGTAAAAGAAGAATCAGAAGCTTTATGAATTTTTTTTAGAAATAAAATATATTTAGATGAAATTAAATAAATGAAAATTATAAAAATATGTTCAAAAAAGTTGTTAAGTAGGGTAGAGCAAGGCTAGTTGAGCAATTTTTACTAAATCTAACAAATATCATGAACAATGTGTTGGATTTACATTTCTAACATTTGGAAGAAAATTCCAAATGTTAGAAATGTTAGAAAAAAAGAAAATTTTTAAAGAAAAAAGTTTTCGATTTTTTTTAGAAGATATCGCCAAATATTTGCAGAGCTGCTCAACCTGCTCCAGCCGGGTAAGTTGAGCAATAGTGTGGGGGAAGTTGATCAATCAGCAAATAAATAAATATGCATAGTACGAAATTTTGGTGAATCGTTAATAAAACTTTCACTAACGTGTGTATAATTTATAAAATTTTTATTATACACTTACTTGTACATTACGTAAGTAAGAGAAGAGAAAAAATTAAATAGAAAGAAAGTTTCATGAAATATAAAAGTATTATTTTATACAACTATCTTGAATTTTGAAGCCCAATTTAACAATTACTAATTCTAAAATTATATATAAACAATGTACCACTTGATTATTTCTATTCAAAGTTGTTTCTTTGTGTTCGATAGTTCAGTTTTATTTATTTATTTTCAAAGCTGCTCAATTTAATCCTACTAGACAGGTGACACATTTTAATTCCCTAACTTTATTCAATTAGATGTTTTGTAGATGAAGTTAACGCTAATATATTAAAATGGATGATGTTCAAAAGAGATTGACGCTAATATATTAAAATGGCTGGTTCAGATGAGGCTGACATTAATTTATTAAAATTAGTCTATGGTATAATTGAATTATTAGCATTTCATATTTTCAATTAAAACATCAAAAAATAAACATTTGAAAAAATTTAATGAGTATGAAAGCATTTTGACGTAAATATATCATAAAAATTTCTTGTAAACTCCTTAGGAAAAAATTTTATAAAATTAAACCACGTCTAAATTTTTACTTCATAAAAATCTTATACTTTTCTTTTATAAATAGTCATGGTAACTATAGTTACAACAATTTACAGCAACATCATGTGGACAAGTATCTAATACATTAGCTTAAACAAGATTACAGAAAACAAAAACACACTGTTAGAATTGTTTAATTTTTTAGTTTGCCATTTATCACACACAGATTTCGCTTTGTAATGCTTTTTAAAAATAGATAATACGAATCAAAACTAATTCAGATAGAATCAATTAAAATAAATATTAAATGAAAAAGAAATGTTATTTAAATATATAAATGATAATAACAACATCAATAATAATAGTAATTATTATTGTTGTTATTATTATTAATGTATTTAATAACAATAGTTGATAATTATTCTTCGGTGCACGGCGATAACCCAAAATTAATGTTTTTTTCTTGCTCCGGCTGATAACTTTGTAGCAATAAATATGTAAACTGTAATATTTAATAAACGACAAAATAAAATGTTAAAAAAAATCGACAGGTAAATAACATGTGTTAAAATCGCAACTTTATAAAATTTTGTATTTAGACTCCTGCTGCTCTGGATTCAATAGAGGGTCCACAAAACAACCATGCCTCCATTATCCGAATGGAAAGTAATTCTCTAAGTACATTACCATCTACATTAAACAACTTTCAGGTAAAGTCAAACCCTTTATATGATAACTATTATGAACAACCTACCCAAAACATGGAAGGAGAGTCTCCAACCACGGCAAAGGAGACACCAGTGTACCAAACAGTGAAGCCTGATTTACATAATTCTTACAATAACCCAACATTTGAGCTAGATATTGAAAAAAAACAGAAAAAAAAACGTGTGTTGTTTGCACCACTACCACCACCACCACCACCACCACCACAAGAAAACGATTATACTGAATCAGACGAAAAAAATTTGATAGATTTTCCGTCAAATAATTTTATTAAAAACGACACGGAAAAACAGTTTCAAGGAAGCTCAAGGTATGATTACAATCGAGCTATTACAGAGATTTAGCAGAGATTTGGCAGCGATAACATAGATTAGTTTTAAATTTACTTAAACATGCTTGACTCCGTGCTTTCATATTAAATAATATTTTTTTAACTTTTTTATTATAGTTATTAAAAATAATCACCATACAAAACAGAAAAAAAATTCTTCATGATAGATAACATATAGATTCAAAACTTTAAACTTTAAACGTTAATTTTGTAGCTAAAGTAATGTTTTATTATATAAAATTACCATTTTGTAAATTTTATTATTAAGTTAATAAAATTCTAATCATGCATTTTTTTTCACAAAAAAATATAAAATTAATTTATATAGTTTCAATTAAATTTTACAACTATTTATATGTAGCTTCGTTCTTTTAAATAAAGGAATCCAATACCGGTCAAAAAATCAATACCGGTATTTCGATATTATAAAAACATAATACCGGTATTAAAACCGGTATTAAATATTTTAAATTATTAAAGGAAAGTAAATAAACTTAATCACGAAAACTTGAAAAGAATGCAAATTTATTGATCTATATGGTAGAACCTTTATCTTTTATTCTAAGAAAATAAGCTCTTAAAAAACAAAGAGCATCCAGAGTTTTGTCATCCATTCTGCACCGCAACATATTAAAAATAATACCGGCAGCAAAAAATGCTATTTCGGATTCAACGCTAGATTGTCGAATCGTTAAAAGAAGATCATAAACTTGTTGGAGATATTTTACTCGCACACCTTCATCTTCATAAGACTCATTTCTTTTTTTAAACACTCGATTAAATCACCAGTGCGTTCTGGTTGTTTCTCGACAACCTTATAGTTTATTTGTTTACAAATGGCCTTGTACATCTCTTTTTTGATCGATTTCTCAGAATTTTTTCCTTCCTCAATCTCAACTTCGCTAACCTCAAAGTAAAGAACTTTCCGGGCCCGTTCTTCAACAGCAGTGCTTTGATTCCAAAGTCCCTTCTGATATGCAATGCCGAAAAGTGAATCGAGATTGCTTGCTTTTAATGCACGTGGAAAGTTAAAACTTAATAAATTTGAGTTTTTAATACCATCTTCTAGACCTTTATGCAGATAAGAAATAAAATCGGACAACTGCGTTCTTCTTGCAATAATACGCTGTTTTAAAGCACTCAGAAATTCAATGCTCAATGATGACTTTATTTCACATAGCATTTTCACTTTCAAACATAAATGTCAATGCTTTATCCGCAGAAATTACGTTAGCATCCTTGCAACAAAGTGACTCAACGGCTAATTTTACCAGCAAAAGTGCTGAGATGGTAGCTAAAACTGTTTCAAAATCATTTTCTGTAAATTTTATTTTAAGTTTTAAATCTATATCTGATTTTTGAATGCAAGACTTTAATTTGTAAAAACGTTCGAGCATTGCCAATAAGCTATTCCATCTAGTTTTGGAATATGCAATTAAGAAGTATTCTTTACGAAACTTGAGCTGTATTATTTTATTTTTTAACGGTGAACGTTTAAATATTTTCAAAATTTTCTTACTTTTTGTGTAAGGGGACCAATTTGACTAAGTGTTACTTTTTTTTTTGTTCTTGTATATTGTAATCCATATTTAAACCTTCTTCGTATGTATTTGAATTATTTTTAAAGGCACCATAGTTTTCATACTCTTCGGCATCTAAATATGAGTCAAAGTCTATTGATTCATTCGAGCAAATGGTTTTTTCTTCGGTTCTTTCTTTTTTATATAAAACATCTACAACTGCAAGTTGAATTGCATTGGCCAAACACAACTGCTGAGCAGCCGGTATTAATTTGTCTACTTTTTGCATAAATGCTGGACCATCATTTGTTAAACAAACGATATTCTTTTCTAATGAAAAACAATACTGATTCAATTTTCACTTAAAAGTAAAGCACATTTTTTCTGCAGGTAAACTTCCATTGATTCGGAGAAGTCCTAAATTCCAAAACTTTAACTCCGAGTGAAGGTTCACGTTTATGTACCGCCGGTTCCTTAAGGAAGTTTACTCATCAAAAGTAATACTAAAACCTTTTCCGTTTAATTTATATTCTGATATTTCTTTCATTACTAACTGCCGAATAGTTTATAGTCGTGGCGAATTTTAAAAGTTCATCACTTAAATTTAATGCTTTTAATGATTTTCGAAGATGTTATAAAAATCCTGAATGGAAGCCCATCAAGTGCTGCCATTCTTGATAAGATTGCTGCCAGCAAGTTTTCTGTAGTTTTTTTAAAATATTTAGTAATTTTTGAAGGAGGCAATTCAGATATTGAACTAGATTCACCAAGAGGTTCAATAACAACTCGTTTTCGTAATATTACTTCAAGCTTTGTTTTTAAATGTGTATGAAGGCCGCTTGTTAAGCCACCTGCTGTTTTTATAATTTTTGCGCACTTCTTACACTTTGCACTATGCCCTTTTTCATCTTTGAGAAAAAGAAAAAAACAAAAGAGAATATTTATCTCCTCCTTTTGAATGCTCAATTTTTGAAAACTCAAAACTTTTTAATTTCACTCTCCATCGGCTAAATTAGAATATATTCTCAATTCGTACATATGTGTTACATATTTTATCCTCACAATGTTTATATCAGTCACATAATGTGACTGATATAAATATATATATATATATATATATATATATATATATATATATATATATATATATATATATATATATATATATATAATATATATATATATATATGTATATATATATATATATATATATATATATATCTATATCTATATCTATATCTATACATATATATATATATATATATATATATATATATATATGTATATACATATATATATATATATAAATATATATATATATATATATATATATATATATATATTATATATATATATATACATATATATATATATATATATGTATATATATATATATATATATATATATATATATATATATATACATATATATATATATGTATACATATATATATATATATATATATATATATATGTATATATATATATATATATATATATATATATATATATATATATATATATATATATATATATATATATATATTTATGTATACACACACATATATATATATATATATATATATATATATATATATATATATATATATATATATATATATATATATATATATATGTATACATATATATATATATGTATACATATATATATATATATATATATATATATATATATATATATATATATATATATATATATATATATATATATATATAAATATATATATATATATATATATATATATATATATATATATATATATATATATATATATATATATATATATATATATATATATATATATATATATATATATATATATGTATATATATATATATGTATATAAAAATCAATCTAGAAATAATTTTACTTTACCAAAATGGCTCAGGTACAGTGGTATCGATTTTTAAAAGTTTTAAAAATTAAAATTGCTGGGAATCACAGCCTAGAACCCGTAGCCGTGGCGTAGCGGTTAGAATTCTGGTTCAGAACGCAATTGTTCAAGATTCAGTGTTGGCTCTAGCCCAATAAGCGATATTGGTAAGAAAGAGGGCATGAACTTCCTAGTTAAATCCGTGGAACTCTGAGATAAGACTTTCTGAGAGTACCTTATTGACTACAAAAAAATAAGCCTTTGTTGGAGAAGACCGTTTTACATCAATTTGGCAGAGGGACCAAATCTGAATAATTCTGAGTGAAATGTTTGAGTTTCAAAATTTTTTTAAATTTACCATACTTTAGAACTCACAAATCAAAATTGCAATTTAAAATAATCTATGACTCAAAGTAAAAGATAAGAATTAAGACTGGACAATGTACAGAGTTATTGAACCGAACTTACTAAACATACAGAACCTGTTGTCTAAATAATAAATTAAAATCATTTATTAAACATTAGTTTCAAATTTTGTATTAATTGCTAACATTATAACAAATTTCTATTTAACATATATTAGGTTTTCTTAATTCAAAAATACATTATTCAAAAAAACAAAAACAATAAAACAAAAACAAACAAAAAAAAAAACACCGACTACAAACAAGAGGTAAGCATCATAAAAAAACTGCGCGATAATTTTTCAAATAGTTATGTAAAAGCTCTTTTTATGCTTTGAAAATTTGAATAATTTAATTTAGAATTTAGAAAATTATTTTTGAAAAATCTAAAAATATTGAATAAAAAACATCGTTAAAAAAAATTGATGCTAGAAAAATTAGATTAGTAAATACCAGACTAGCCGACTATATTTCTCAAAAAGCCGACTATAACTTGAAAATTTTATTTATTGGGGAAGGGGTTTACATTCCCATCCCAATAAAAACGCAATCGTTTGTTACTCTAAAAGACAATAAGCCAAAATTTCAAATAAACTTTCGAGTGGGCTACTAGTTCTTTCAAAAATGAGTTACAGCACGTTAGTAAAATTAAATTGGAAAAAATAGATAATATTATACCAAAAAATTAAATTTGCAACAGTAAAAAAACAGCACTGATGCTATAAATTGGTTTTCTTAAATGAGTTTTCTAAAACAAAAATGAAAGCACATTTATACAATTCAACATTATGGATTTTTGCCTCTCAATTACAACAGAAACTTTAGATAAAACAATAGAATTTGGAAAATTTTGCACAGAAATTACAAAGAACACTATTCTTTAAATTAAGCATTCCGAAAAATTAAAATTCCGCGTCTCCTTATTAAAATACTCTATTTTAATAAGGAGACGCGGATAAAAGAAACCACTGCTTTGATGCACCATTTGGAAGTTATGACTGAGCGAATTTATTAGCTTTAATATTTTAAATTCGATAGCTAAAACAGTTTAATTTAATCAATCGAGCTAGTATGGTGATGATCGTTTAATAATATAGCAATATAAATCATGGCCTCAATGTAAAAATATCAAAAAAAATGTTGCTAAAACTTTCAAAAACATTAGCTACCAAATTTTTTTCCAAGATTTTCTTAATGCTACATATATTCTTTCAAAAAATTGTTATAAATCTTTTAAAAAAATCTAATGATGAATTATTGTATATTAAAATAAAGTCAAACCTCACGCCTAAAATCATAAAAATCTTATTTAATTAACATTAGACTAAATCAAAACTCTTCTAGTAAAAATATTTTCACTTCTTCTAAACGTGTGTAAAACTTCTT